TTGTGTCTGAATTCAATGCCACTTTTCAATTGTCCAGTTTATTACAAACCGAAGTCTGAACGGTGCAAAATATTTTTATTAAAAAAATGAACAAAATTGGTTATAATGATGTTGATTTTAAAATGGAGTTGATGGGAAGAGCCACATTTCTGGCCAAAAGATCGTATATGCGGCACCTTTCAGTGTCAGTTTTGAGGGACAAAAAGGTTTTAACAGGGAAATTACGTACTGACCAAAAAGCGGTCCGTTTAAACCCCTTTTTGTGGGCGAAGTATAAAGCAGTTCACTGATCAACTACTTTTAATGTTGAAATCCCTTTTATTCCATGGAATCAGCATTCAATCCGTTATTGTCATCATTATGGGTGCTTGAACAATGAATCGATGTAACGCATGTTTAAATAGGCTAGCATCGGTTTCATTGTTTCCTTTTTCGTTTCGGTTTCCACCCCCTCAATTCCCTCTCATCAGGAGTGAAATAGGGGAGCAATTCTTCCCCAATTACCGACGAATCAGAGAAAAAAAAAGGAAACCCATGTGCATTGAAAGTTGAATGCATCTAGGAGACATTATCTCGCAGCCACCACGTATCATCTTGTGTCATCTGACAATACCTAGTTCGGGTGATCCAACTTTAGAATTTTTCCCACGGGAATATATTGCGTATAAATTCATACTTGTCCGTACAAACATTATTCAGAGTGATCATCTTCTTGGTAATGAGTAATAACTAATTCATGGGTGTTCACTGCATGGACTGGACTTTGCGAAACAGAGCAGTACAAATCAACGATAAATTCACGGAGATGAAACCAGGATGATAAAGTCAGGTCGTAGAGATAAAATACTCCTGTGGGTATCAAGCTGCATGGAGAGTGATCGGAAATTACTGCATTTTGTACAACTTCAAAATATATCACTAGGTCTGCAGATTTTGCATCCACCCACGTAAGATCCACAACATTTTCAACTACTTTATTGACGAAAGTAAGCTGTGTAGGGGAGTTAGAGATCGTGCACCCGGTGATGAGAAACATCCCTGCCGCAAACATGACTTCAGTTAGTGCGACTCCATACGAATTTACTTTTTCATCGTATGACTTTCTAGCTAAAATTTTCTAGTGTCTCCATAAGTAATTATGATCCTAGCAGTTGAAAGTACCTGGTTTAATTATCCAACCCTGGCCTTGAGATCCCATAGTACAATAAAATTGGATTTTACCATTTTTCCCTCTAGTGAATTTAGTGTAGTTTCACAGAGTTTGACTTGGTCAACCCAAAGAAACACACCGATACGACAGTTTGCCCTTTTTAACTCGCGTTGGAGGCTGTATTCATTATTTTGGGCAATCATATTTTCCTTACAAAACTCCATCGGACTAGGCGTACAAACAGCTAATAAATCAGGAATTTTAAATGCATCGAAAACAAGCCCAATACAGTGGCAAAATCTAGGAAAGAGGAACTAACTTGGGGATCCGAATCCGATCCTCTTATTAATCATTCGATAACCACGTCAGTGCTGCCACTTCTCCACCATAAACAAATTTTTTAGCGTATATTTATGCAAATGTCCTGTAGCGGCACTTTTTTGGCTAAAGGCTTACCTGCGAATTTCCCCGAGATTATTAGCAAAGAGCTACGATTGCATGAGCTATGATTGATAGCTATGATTGCAGCCCATCTCTGCTACGTAAAAAATCATGTTTGGAAATAATGAGAGAGGTTTTAAAAATAAGGGAGGGTTAAGGTGGAAAACTCATAAAAACTCACCACCGAGCCTCAAAAGACATCCCTCAATCCCATGGACTGCGTTGATTATGCACGATCCATTGATGAGGCCGGTATGACACGTGTCACTCAAACACCAGGTCCGGATCCCAACGTGGAGGCGTGATGGTTACGAGATTTGCGTGAGAAATCCGCCAAAGCGCGTTGTTGTCGGTATGTGCATGAATATCTCTCTAGTATCCTCTCAAACTACACCTAAAATAAGATATTGATGAATAATCCGGCAATCCTGTACCACTGGTTGCTTCTCTAAGGCTGGCGCAAATTATCACGGAGAACCACTGTTGAGACCAATCTTTCAAATCGGAAAAGTGTTCTCTCCAACGCCACGGTGAGTTCCACTTTTTTTAGGAGAGCCTGGCAATGGTGCATCGCTGTGAAAATATTTGATGTGAAAAATTACAGTTTAAACACACCGTGCGCCTTTTTTATTTGATGTAGTGTTTTTGTTTTTGAGCGGATGCGGTGTTAATTGTGTATTAACGCGTAAGAGATGAACGCCGTATTGCCAAACTGCCGGAAGCACCCTTCACACCCGGCCTGAATGGTGGATGCACTCGCGACCCTGGTGGCAACACCGCTCAGTATTTACAGAGAGCTCTGGGACGCTTAACGTGAGGCGATAGTGCTACATGCGTGAACAATTTGTTTGTGGACTCGATGAAATTGCACTACCGTGTTTGCAAAAATCCGCAGGTTATGTTGTTCTAAATTATTCTTCATTCGTGCGTAAGGATTAAAATATAAAGTTTTTGGTGGGCGTTTATACATTATTCGAATCCACTCGCTTTTATTATAAAAAGCGTAAAAACAATTCGTGGATTTGATGAACGTTTTAAACAGGTTACAACAAGGAGAGATGCGCGCGGGTTCCGAATCGGTAGCGTTCTTTTTTTATCATGTAAAATCTTTGGGGAAAGACTGAAGGCTGTCACAAACGATATATTCAATACCCTCCCACTCATTATCACAGTGCTTAACTCTACACTGATTCGTAACTTTTTCCATTTAGCTTCACCGAGACAGGGATGGTCCTAAACGTTTGAATGCGCGGTCAGTCTTGTTGGTTATGCAGCCCTATTTTGATTGTTATGTTTTGCACATTGGCTAAATTATGTACTTAAATCCATCAAAATACTACACTGAAAAAACAAAAATCCGGCCGTGGGAGCCGTACTTACGGGCTGTATAGATGTACCATCCACGTTCCGGACTCAGAGGCAAGAAGTTCCCCTTCCACAAACAGGGCGTAGCACTCGGAGCAGTCAAAGCTACGCCCCCAGCACCCGAAATTTTCGGCCTCTGAGCCCGGAACGGACAGTATGTCTATATAGCCCGCAAATTTTTTTCAGTGTATGTTCTGTACAAGGAAACATACAGTCCCTTTTGAGACGTCGGAATTTTCATCAGTCACTGCGCTGGTGCATACCATGGTTCTCTCTTTCTTGGTGGTTTCAGGAATTTTCGTCCAATTTTTTTCGTCCTAGAGACGTATGGGTCAAAGTAATAAAGAGGACTAAAAAACGTTGGACAAATTTTCTTTTGGACCAAACTAATTACTGGACAAAAATGTGAAATAAACCAAAAAAATTGCACACAAAAACATTGGACAAAGATTCTTATAACTTTCTTGGTTTATTGATGAGGGATTCACACTTTTGAACTGAATGAGCAGATTACCTACACCATTGATAAAATCCGAGTGGATGAAACCATGGTATGTGTGATGTGTGGCACATTGATCAACATGTTTCTCGAAGAGCCTAATTTTATTTGATATAATCGAAAGTTGAAACCTAGAGCCTCAACGGATCTCATTGTTTTTCTTTGGACGTATATGTATGCTAAAAGGAACTATGTTACATGCAAACCGTAGTAGTTCCTTTTAGCATAAATGCGTCCTTGTAAAGATACTATCGAGACAAGATTCTAAGGGAAACGTATATTCAATAATACGAATTTGAGCACAGAGAAGTAAAAGCTTAGTTTTATTTCACAATTTTTCGCGACATCGTATTATTTTGCCTATAAATCACAGAGCAATTATGCATTTAAAAAAATGTATACTTTCTCCTATATTCTATGAAAAATATGAATATTTAGGATGTTTTTATCCCACGGCAAGAGTAACTGAAAAAAATTTCCCAGGCATCTACGGAACACAGCGGTACACTCACGCCTATATCAGGGCCAAGGGCCATTTAGCAAGAAATCAAATTAATTCCGGCCTGCATTGCTCAGAATTCGGCTCAAATAAAAGACGGCGGGCTATTAACCAGGTTAAGTAACGGGATTTAAAAGAGTGTCAGTGTGACAGAGCATGGTGCGGTCTTGATTCAATGAAAAAGGGGAGGAAGGAAGGAACCCAGTTATTATGCCGAACGCTTCTTTTTTGTTCATTCCTCACGAGTAAACATAACGGTTCACCGTAAAGAGGTCACCGTATCCCACTGATACTTTTTATAATTGAGTCATTTCGAGCAAAAGCCCCCTCGTTTTTGTGGGTATCCTGTTCCGCGGCTGGTGTTGTCGCCGTGTTCTCACCGGTTTCACGCTCCTGTTGACGCTAAAAGCGGAAAATTGAACATTTTAACTCTCGACTGCAATAAAGTATATCTCCGGCAAAAGATCCTGTGAGGCGTACATTGCGGCCAAAATCGCACGATTTTACATCGTTTAGGGGGCTACGCCCTCAAACTGCTTCGCGGTGCAACCCCCCGAAGCGCCTCGCACCTCAGGCGTTATGCGTTACGCGTTACTCATACAATTGTACGTTATAAAGTATGATTTGTAGAAGTGCAAATTACTTTAGTCGAATTATTTCCATGAAAGTTAGGGAATATGAAGAATTTAGTAGATGCATAGCATAGCTTTTGGATCGACTGCGTTTTGAAATTGAGAAGTGGGAATCACAACTTTTGGCCCATTGTAGAAACTCAATAGGTGCTTTTATGGATCAGGTAGAACAGTTGTTGCTTAAATCATTTTTACTCGAAGAGACCACGGTACAGAAAAACTGCAGTACGCCTTGTCACCGTGGTAAATGACGTCATTCACAGTGTTTCGCAAGGAGCTTGATCTCCTACCGGTTCACGCTGATCAACGTAAAGCAACTTTGCAACGAGCGTAACTGATGTTTCTTCGCACTTTAAATTTAATTTTCTTTTCCTCACAATCGTTTACCAGAGCAGGTTATAGTGCTGATTTCAGTATTTTCTATTCTAGGCCAGCAGCAGCAGTTCCATGCCTTCGCTTTTGGGCAACGGCCGTTCCTGTCCGGGCATTTCGGAAATCCCTTGGACCCCCTCCAAAGGGCGACTGACCCTCTAGCCTTCCGGATGCCTCCAATGTCTCAGTGCCAAAGTAAGTGCCATTCCTGGAAAAAAAAAATGTTTTTCATTTTCTTTGCTTTTAAAACGAATATATGGTATTTTTTTCAAAAAATTGAAAATTGGTAGATGATCGCGAAATCAATTATGAAAACAATCAAATAAAAAGCATATTAATTAATGAAGCTAATGGAAATAAGATATTAAGTTAAAGCGCGGTACCGATAGGTTTGCATAATGAACGCATCCTCCCTCCCTAGGTTGTCTCACTTTGAAGGTGACCTGCGACTTTTGATGGTGGTGCTCCCTAAATCGTTTACCACAGTTAGAAAAATAAGGTTTCATCAGAAAAGAAAAAATCTAAACAATGTTTTAAGGATCACGCACGGCCTTCGTTTTTCGGCTTTCGGCGTCGCGCCTTCAATTTAGCGCATGCAACACGGACATCCATCAAGCACGAATAGTTGTATGTTTGCGCCGTCATCAATGCGCGTTCTTTGTTCTACTTCCATATTGTGTTGGTATGGAGTGATGCAGCTCTCCCGTCGCATACGTATGCTAATTTTTCGGGTTTAAATTGTGCCTGATAGCTTCGAATAGGTAGATTGTATTTGCAGCAGCACTGGTAAAAGAAAACCTCTTGGACCCATGCCGCGGTGCATTGACTTAAGAGTGCAATTTCTTGTCGCCGGATTTAAGAGTCTTGAACCCTTGTTTCAAGCGGATTTAGCATTGAAAAAAAGAGTCCAGACTCTTAAATCCGGCGACTTGAACCAAGAAGTTTTTTTTTTCAGTGAGAGCTTGTTTATACCTCTATGTTAACTGACATAATTTTAGATAAGACGTCTGAAGATCAAATAAGATGTCAAAGTAAAAGATTAAACTAAATTTTTTTAGGCTTATTGTAAGATCTAAGAATGTTGGGATAAACCCTGAAAAGAGAATATTAAACACTCTTATCTTTCTGAGCTATCCTCGATGACTGAAAGTAAAAGGGGTTACGTTACGTAACGGTGTGAATTATTTTTAAAAGGAAGGCGTTCCGTAGGATGTTATAAAATTTATAAGGAAGATTTGGGCCCTTGTTACGGGACCGTTACATCGAATGAGGTTGTCAAATGACAGAAAATGTGTCTCACACTATACTTAGGGGCTTCTCACAGCGAGATTGTGAATTTAAAAATTCCACAGGAGCGGGAGGAAAGTAAAGATTAGAAACGCAAATCGTTATCCACACCGAGGGGGTCGAAACCAGAGCGAATTCGAAAATGAGATCGTTAATGGACCCATTTGTCCGCTCGAAATGATCAAACTCAAAAAACCACCGCTTGAATTATGGACAACAGTCGGTGCCACGTCATCTGCGACAATAGAAAACGTGTCGAATCACCAAATTCTTTATTTTACGGTTTGGTCATCCTCAAAATAAACCGAAAACAGGCATCGGATCTGTCATGTCGTTCGTTGAAATCAACCTGTGTCGTGGTAGCGAAGAATGGGAGATAGGTGTTTTTATGCTTTTATCCAGCTGCTCCTGGAGATCATGAATGAGCAGCATCCGATATTCGAGAAAACAAAGAGAGGCGAGGACCTGGCCAGAGTAACGAAAGATTAATGACGAAACGATTCTGACGAAACAAGAAACCCGCGGGGCGGAGATCAGTTGGAGCGGGCAAATATCGGTCGGATTAGGCGTTCGCCCCTCTTTATATTTGATCATGAGAGGCGACTTGAATGAGTCGTTAGAAAAATGAATGAAAAGTGGAAACAGTCTGACGTCATTGACCACCATCTGGAAGCATTCCGGGAGTACGGAGCTGTCCTCATGCTGAGGCGGATTGGCCGAGTTCCGATGTTGCCTCACCGGAGAGAAATTGGACCTTTTATCCGGTGAAGTTCCAAAGAAATCCGTGGTTCCCGCGTTGTAGGTTTCCACCAATCAACCCGCGGAATTTTTCCCTGTTATCACTATACCTCCCAAGTTCAATCCAGAGATAGCGTATTTTAGACCTCACTGGGGAAAAAAAACACATTGGATCTAGAGTCCAGACTCTTGAAAACATTGACAAAAAAAAATACTCTTGATTCAGTCGGATTTTTGCTTGAATCAAAACGAAATCCGCTTAAACTAAGAGGCTTGGTTCTTAATTTAAGCCAGATTCCGATTGAATCAAGAGTACTTTTTCTTGTCGATGTTTTTAAGAGTCTGGACTCTAGATCCAATGTGTTTTTTTTTCCCAGTGCTCCCTTTGCCATTCTTCCTTTACATATGAAGTACAAGTTTTGTGTGGAATTCCCCCTTGCTCAGTTTCGCTCAATGATGATTGATGACCACAGTTTTAAGCAAACTTACCCTAATTTGCGAGCAGTGTTCATCCCGACATTCATCAGTCATCATCAGGCAAATTATATGCTCAGAAGGTTGCTTATCAATCGTCATCAGGCGGAAAATAACGTTGATATCAAAACGTAACTTTTGCCCCATCCAATGAATACATTTCTTAGATCATTAGTGCGGAGTCTCTGAAATACATTGGCTCTACTTGAGCCCAGTAATTCCAAGTCGCTTCTACTCAACTTGGGGTAACCCCCCACACCGCCTCGCGGTCCAACCCCCCGAAGCGCTTCATGCCTTAAAAAAAAAACACATTGGATCTAGAATCCAGACTCATGAAAACATTGACAAGAAAAAATACTCTTGATTCAATCAGATTTTTGCTTAAATCAAAAGGAAATCCGCTCAAATTAAGAGGCTTGGTTCTTGATTCAAGCAAAAATCCGATTGAATCAAGAGTATTTTTTCTTGTCGATGTTTTTAAGAGTCTCGACTCTAGATCCAATGTGTTTTTTTTTCTACTGCAGCTACTGAGGTTTGGATCACACATCTGAAACCTCAGTTCTTACATCTGAAGTACCTCAGATGCATGTGAGAATCGAAGTCCTTTGGATGTGAAAACCGAAGTACTTCAGATGTAAGAACTGAAGTTTCAGATGTGTGATCCAAAACTCAGCAGCTGGATACCTTAAGTATTCGGACGCTCAATCCGAAAACTTCAGAGATCCAGATGACCTAAACTTTGGGTCGGCGGACATTTAGCAACGCTGTCGTAGGCTATGTAAGGCTCCTGCGCTGAGTGACAGGTCAGGAAGCGGGCGATAAATATGGGTCGGATCGGTGAGGCACGCGTATGTTTTTTAGGGAAACGTACAAATTATGGGGCGCGGGTGCGTCGGTGCGGCGGCCTCCCGGGGCGCGCGCGCCTCGGATTTTGATATGTGGCTCGTCTGGCCTTTGAGCGCTCCAAAGTGGTCAAGCTTATGCAACGCCTCGTTTCCGCCCCGGGGCCTCTCGACGTGCCTTTTTTGTCCACCAGAGCGGTGACCAACTCACTCCAAGTGTCCTTTTCCAAGTGTTTACACGCGGACACACTTCCTCTCTCGCGCAGACCTCGCAGCTGCCACTGAATAAATCTCCCGTCCAGTTCCCTTCAATAAATACTTTATAATGTCATTGAATTCGACACATTTGAAGTTCCGAACGCTTGGATCTAGTTTAGCAGAAACATAGTAAGTTAAGGCTACAGTACTTACAGGGAGAGTACGAGCATTTCGAGAGCACGTAGAAAATCGCGATAACTTTTTTGGTAGATAATATTTGGAAAGACGGATTACGGCTTGTGAAGGAGCGCGAAAAATTAAGCGGAACAGGCACCAAACAAAATTGTTTAGAAACGCGTGGTTTCGACGCAACGAAGCTTTGCACAAGTTTCAGATTTTCGTAACTCCGTGCTGGCAATTTTTATTGCATGGATCTTAAGAAAGCATATTGCATGGCAAAGGAAGCGCATAGCTTACTTAAAAAGCATTTCGGGCAATGTGTTTAGTAAAGAAAGTCATATTATGAGTCAAAAAATCGATCTTGTAAGTTAAGTACGTTTACTCTCGGACACCCTGTATAGAGCCGAAAAATCCCCGAGTAATTCATATGTTCAGTTAATATTCATTTGCGAAGTGAAAGTAGTACTATTATAGCGTGTGGCCGTGGCACTCCGCAAAGAGAATTGATTCCGCCCCGTAATAACGTAAGTAATTCCGTGAGGAGACTAGATTCTGCTCCGCATTTGTATCACTCTGGGTTTTTCGGGCGCTATGTAGACTCCGCCACAGAATTTCACTTCAAAATTTTTATAAGTGCATCATATTCCCTCCTCCAAAACTTCCAAACGCTAGACTTGTTGGTCGAGTCAGCATCGAATTCGTCAGGATATAACTTAAAATGCTTCGTCTCACTTTCAAGGAGGGGCGCAGCGGACTGCCACGGATGCAGCGCGGAGTGAATTACGTGGGGCCCACCTGCGCGGCGCTCGGAAGAGGACAGAGAGGGGTAATTTAACTGTCCTCCCGCTGGGTGTGTTTGTGTGTGTGTGACAAGGAGCACAGATGGGAAACACGTCGTTAAATCGTTTAGCGGGGAAATGGCAAGCAAATAGAATACAGGGAGTAAATTAAATGGAAACCAGGAGGAAACCGAGAAGCGAACCGAGTCGCGTGACGGACGTCGCCGTCGGACAAATCAAACCTGTGAAACCGCTTTGTGAGCCCGCAAAAATATGTAATAAAAAGTCGGAGGGAAGAGGTAATTTTGAGACTCTTCTTCCGGCGCGGTTGCCGCACTCGCATTTTTAAAAGCTTTTTTTCTCGTCTCGCTTGTGCTGTCGGGTCGAATTGAACATTTAGCAGCCCTTAGAGCTTAGGATAGGTCTCAGGAATTGAAGATTAACCGTACACTGAAAAAAAAGGTTACTGGCTATATAGATATACCGTCCGTTCCGGGCTCAGAGGCCGAAAATTACGGGTGCTCGAGCCGTAGCTTCGGTTGCTCCGGGTGCTACGCCCAGAACCTCCGGTCTCTGATCCCGGAACGCGGACGGTATGTCGACATATAGTATGTGTTTTAAAAAACATATAATAAGCGAATTATTGTCACCTGTTTTTTTTATTTTTCAAAAAGAGGATGTAAAGTTGTGCTATGAAAATAGCACTCCTATGATCGCTACACTTTTTTGCACTTCTTTTTCACTAAATTTAAACTACGCCATTCATCTGAGTAAGAAGAAATCGAGGAATATACATGAAAGTTCCACTTTTTCCACATTTTCTCCATTTATTTACTGCACGTATGTTGCCTTCCAGAGATAATTCTTGCCTGAAAAAATCGATCTTTTCAAGAGAATCAGGTAAGCACCAGGGAACTTTCATGTATTTCGTTTGATCCTCGATTTCTTCTTACTCGGATGAATGGCGTAACTTAAAATTAGTAAAAAAGATGTGCAAAAAAGTGTAACGATCATGGGAGTCACCGTAATGCATCAATTATGCTTGGAAAACCATCCCTTATTCTGCAATATTTAAGGAACTTCCACTGTTAATGAGTTTATTTGTGACTGATGATAATGACGTTTGGATGCAACTAGTACCGCTTGAATGTTGTCTGCGTTGAGAAAGCAAAAAATTGAAGGCGTTTCTCATAACTGCAATTTAAGGACGTCGCCTGAGAGTTTTTGAAGTTTCGTCTTCTACTGTACAAACGTTACTACCTCCGGACAAGTTCTTACCGTTCGGTGCAAAATGACACCCCTCAAAAAAGTATTAGTCTGAAAATGAAAAATACACCTTATTCTTGGGCATTAAGTATGATATGATTCATCTTTCAATTGTCAATGAGACCATTCCATCTATTTCCAGTTGATGTGGCATCGTTGCGCTTTCTTGACTGATGCGCACGAAACATCGGTCATGGAGACAGCAACGTTCGTTCGTCGATGGCATTGCGATTTTCTCGTTGACTCGCGAGGGTGGATAGGGTGATAGGAGGTGGGTAGCCACGCCAATGGGGTTGTGGATGCGGGAAAGACATATTTTTTCGAACGGATCATAACTCATTCGTTATCCGCGGCGCGAGCCGTAATTGAAAACGAAGTCTGTCGTTCAGCATTCAGCCGGCCTGTCCCGTTCCCTTCTCGTCATTTCTCCAACAACCGATTTTGGTGCTAAACGCCATTATTTTGGTTTCCAACAGCATTATTCATCCGAATGCAATTTCTGGTCCAAATTTGAAAGCAATAAGCAATCAGTTATAGTTTCCACAAATCGTGATTGGAATGTTAAAACTTACCGATTTTCAAAACATCATCATATATAACTCGTGCGCTAAGTTTTGGTCCATTATTAACGGATAAATAATTGACCAGCAAAAAAGACACTAAATGGCGTAATTGATTTGGTGCATGGCTACTGCAATTTCAATTCCACTGGTAATGAGCAAGTAACCCCTTACCAAAGGAATTCCCATTTAAGGAACAAGTAGTATAACTAATTATTACATGATTGATGAGACAACGACGGATGATTACCTAATGTGATACCGGTTACCGTGGCAGGTAAAACCTCCTTTTGGGAACATTTGCTTGGAAGGGGGAGCAAAACTTTATCAAATCTAAAACAAGCATGAAAGCGCTAATACGTTCGTATTAAAGAAATGCTCTCATGTTATCTAATTAGGTGCCTGTTTAAGTTCCTTGAAGAAAATGAGCATCGTTGAGGTAAAAGAACTTGCTCACCAAAATTTCATATATCAATTTTGAGAAAACTACACTACCGCCAAAAAAATAAATTATGGAAAAACGATTATCATCCTCCGTGTTATGTCATCAGAAACACTAAAGGATGATATCACTGATTAATCTGTTCTAAATATGTGAGATCCCTCTCGGCCATATTGTTGTTGAGCTGGTGCGCTATTTAAACGCATCGCCACCAGTATACTAAAATTTTCAATCAAAGAGCGCTCCTTATCGGCTGAGCGCTTAAAAAATATCCTGAAATCCATCAAAATTGGCCTAAGTAGTCCTACTGGAAGGTCATATCTGAAATGTGAGGAGATTCAGCCCCATTCGTGAGGTAACATTTCTTTGGCTTCATCAGTGCTTTCATCACTTGACTTTAGTTGAGTAAGTCGGTGGTGACGTCACCAACGTGCGCTCAAAATTCAGTCTAAAGCCAAAGTCTCATCACTCAGAAAAGAGACCCATCCGAGCACTTATCGTCAAATGGAGTCATGCTGTTAACCCCAATTCCTATACTATCAAACTATTCATTCATCCCTTGAATGCAAATTTTAGTAACGAAAAGTTGGATAGTGTGATACTGACGCGAGAAAACGACAGTTCGATGCAAAATCGAACGGAAACTTGAATTTGATGTCACATTCAACTTTTTGTTCAACTTTTCATCCAATTTGCCGCCCATTGGATGGGAAGTTGAATTGAGAGTAATTAAATCAAATTTTTTTGCATTTAACTTTCCATCCAACTTTTCGTTGAATAGACCACCAGACAAGGTACGAATTTCAGCATTCTGATGCATGTGTCTTCATCAAAATTTCACGTAAAACACGATTCGCACATCGAAAATTACCGAAATCAACTCCTTCTAAAGATATTTAATGATTCTTGGTGCGTGAATTGAAACCACCCGCTTATGAAAACTCAATGCTCTACGTGATTCACATCGCGCGCTAAACGTTATCATGAACGTCTCTGCGATAAAAAAATATGGCAACCTCAATCTTGACGTTTTTGCTCAGCTATGGCAAATTCTTTATAGTTTGAAAAACACATGGTGGGAAATGAACATTGTTCGATTGACAAGCTTGCTGAAAACGTTGTAGTGCGCGATTTGACTCACGTAGAGCTTTGAGTCTCTTGTGAGCGGGCAGTTCAAATCCCTCGTAACCAATGTGAAATAAAAACGTTAATATCTCCGTTAGGAGTTGGTTTCAGTAATTTTCGTTGCGCGAATCGTGTTCTACGTGAAGTTCTGGTTAAGAAACATGTATCAGAATGCTTAAAGTCGTACCTTGTCTAGTGGTCCATTATGTCAGATGAAAAACTTGATATTGTTAATTGGGCCGGAGGTGTAACGAACTTGATTTTTTTATTGTGGTCTCAAAAAGGGTTTTGGGTTTGTGTTGACAGATATGGGTCAGTTCGGGCTGAATAACGGGCACCACTGGAGCTGCAGTACTGCTACGCCGTACTCGAGCTACCTGGGCGCGAGCTCCTTCAGCAGCTGCGCCGCGTCGGGGGGCTTCAACACCCCCGCCCTGGGCTTCACCGCCAGCGCCGCTGAGGCCCCCGTCCACGACAACTACTCCTCACCAACCAACGCCTCCAACGCCTCAGCACGTAAGTTGAATCCAGCCTCCTCTAAAATACTGTTGGACATTCTCCCTGGATGGGCTCACGAAGCGCTCGATACGCTCTAACTTGATGCGTCGCAAGTATGGGGGGTTCTCATTTAAAAATGTCGATAATTTTGAGTGTACTCCCCTGGGAGGTCGGGGGTTGCGAAAGGGTTTCCCCCTCCATGGTTAGGACAACAGTCCAAACCGATAAATTTTATCCCGATAATCGAAAAAGTCTTTGCGTATTGGGCGTAACTTTTGCCCATCCTGGGATTCAGAGAATTTTAAAATACTTTAAAATTCTAATTAGTCACCGACCGGCCAAAGTATCACAAGCGTATCTTGTGCCAACATAATCTGCTGAAATATAGTAAATTCGTATTTACTAAGTGGTTATGCTTTCCCCTTTGACCGCTTCGCGGTCCAACTTTCTGGAGCGCTTCGCGCCTCAAGCGTCGTGCGGGCATTTCTCTTATGATTTTCTATTTTAGAGTATAACGTTGGAAATGAAGATAGTTCATTTTGATTACACAATACGTCCATATTTTGATATTTGGAACTCTGAGGCTGTTGTTCCTCAACCCAGCAACAAGGCAAGACTTGTACATAGCCAGGAGTTATACCCTTTTGAGGACGCGAAGTGTTTTGCTTTAGTATGAATTGAATCGGTCCTCGCCAAAAATGGATCTACAAGAGGAACGGTAATCGCCATCTCCATTGACCTTTTCTAAATCTCAGACCTTTTAAATATTAAAGCAATGAATTACGAGTAATTAATGACCTTCTCTAGCAACCTGCGGTTTAAAACTGGTTGTTTTATGCAGTTTCTACTGTTATTCTTGTATTTTCATACTCGGCGCTTAAGTCTTCCCGAAAATGACAGATTCTATTATTTTTCAATCTTGTGATTTCAGTGGGGCTCCACGACGGCGTGACGCCCGGGGCGACGGACATGGACCAGCAACTGATGTCCTCGCAGACGCAGCTCCAGGCGATGGACTCGGAGTCGAACGGACACGACCGCTCGCTGCTGTTCCCCAAGTACGGGACGGCCGACTTCATGGCCGGGCCGCGCTCCCTGTCCGACTCCTCGACGGCCGACTCGCCCGGCGGGAGCGAGGACGTCCTCCTCCCGGCCCCCGCCGCGGCGCCCCCGGCTCCGGCGCCCGCCACCAACGGCCACTTCCACCATCACCACCACCATCACCACGCCGGCTCCCACGGCTACACCTCCCACCCGGCCCACTACCCCGTGCTCCCGGCCTCGCTCCTCTACTCGCAGCTCTACAACTCGTCCAGCTCCCTCGGCCGACACGCCGGCGAAGAGGATCAGCGCTGCGCCACCAGCGTCTCCCAGCACCGGGCCAACGCCGACCACTCCTCCGTCTGGCGCCCCTACTAACGGCTACCATTCATCGGAGGCTAGGCGCCACGTGAGAAGTTGGGAGTGATCCACTGAACCGTTAAAATGCACATCGAGTCCCCTTATACAAGGTGATCCACCACAAGTCCCGCACCACAAACACCAGACAACACTACTGTGACCTTTGTGCGAATTGAGATTGAGATTCTGTGAGTGCTCCTAGGTCGGGAGATCAACCTTTTGGCAACCCTCAAATTTTACGGGCGAGAATTTGAGGGCTACTAGAGTTAATTAATCTAGAGTTTATAGAGGTGGCGCGAGACTTCGTAGGATCGCCCTCTAGAGAGAGTTTGAGATCACTCATGGAGTCTGGATATTTCTCCGAGGGGTATAATTTTAATATTAGTATGCATAATATATGCACAATACATGCATATCAATATTCAAATTACACCCGAAGAAGCGAGCCTTAGTTACAGCATAGTTAAGATAGCACGAAAAGAGACGTTCCTGCCTAGTTGTGGGCGAACTTTCGGCAGCGCCTAATTAGTTTAGCTTCAGGAGAAAGTTACGCGTCTTCTTGAGGTTTCTTTGTGTAAGTTTTATCAATAACGTCACTTTGGCTGACCACCAACTTCAGTCTAATTGGAGACCGTATCAGTGATGAATATTAGACATTTTGAGCAGAAATAAAGGATACCACTGTAACAGCACGTTGGAGCCCATTTTGCCTACTTTGTGAAATGAAGGCAAACCGGTTTGTAGATGTCTGTAGTACGTCTTTTATGAGACGACCATTGATGATTCCATGTAAAATTTCTTAGGATCTCACTCTGGCGCGTCTGCCTATTTCAGTGGATTGGTGGACTTATGGAGTTAAGGTGGACTTAAAGGTGGTTAAAGTGCGTGCGCATTATATCTTTTGGATTGTGGTTCACGCGCTTTAGGCGTAATTGTGATATTTGTGTTATTTTTTCATGTTTCGTTATAGGTAGGTAATTTTATTCTAATTGATTCCTTTTTTTCCTTTGACACTTATTTTTCGAAATCGGTCACCGACTTGTTACTAGGCTCGTAGTCCGGGAAAATAGAACGCTTTCTCGGAGGAAACCAATTTTCCCAGAAAAATCATGATGAGCAACAATAGACGGACTAAGATGTCGAAATCCGATTTTATATGATCCACGTGGAAAAACTTTCACCCTCTTCTTTCGCACAGTTCCAATGTAACCATCCTGGCAAAACTGTGCATTTGTACGATTGGTACATCGAAAAAGGTGAAGTTGATTTAACATTCTGAGTGTAAAAAAACGTGTGCGAGAAGTTATACAATGCTGAATTACTTGCTGAATTAATGCTACTGAGTAACTTGCAGTTACTTTATAGCAACGCCAAGATGTAAAACCAACTTCTGTGGCAGGTATTTCAGCATTTTATAAGTTTTCACACACTTTTTTCACATTCAGAATGTTAAATCAATTTTAACTTTTTTACGGTGCGTTCTGAACTAAAAGTAAAGCCAAATCGCAGCTATGAAGTAATACATTCCATCGGAATGCATCATACTTGAGGACCGATATTAGACCGCGTGTAACATTAAGAACGGTTACCACATTTTATTTCTTTTCGGTGGCCGATTTTATGTGAAATAAATTATTCTTAAGAGATGAACATCAAGTGGGAAAATCGTAACTTCGTGCCAAAGATTTTTTATTTGAACCTCATCCTGCAGGCTAAAAATAGTTGTAAAATATTTTCGAAGTATATGTATTAGTAAGCAGTATTGTAAATAATATTTTTAGATGTGTATGTATAGTTTATCATAACCTCTTAACCCGCTGTGTTAAGTTTGGAAATATTTGTTTTATTTCCCAAGTTCAGGATCCTCGAATTCCATCTTTGGTTCAGTTGGTCCTAATTTTATTCTTTTAAATTCAACTGGTCCTTCTGAAAAACAAAAATATCTCCTTCCCAAAGCGGAACTATGAACTTAATGATATGGCTGTAGATGTATGTAATAACCTTATCCTATCAGCCTAAGTATTGGTAATTACTTCCTCTTTACATCTTCAATGAATTTCATGTTATTATGTATATCCCCTTTCAAAGAATCCAGTTTAGTGAAGATGGTGAGTTATATACTGTGATATTCATACTAATATTAAATCATTTGTCTCATCATACTAAAAAAAAAATTAAATCAAGTAATACGAGTAAATACAGTAAATTATCTTGAAGTTACAGTCGATTGCAACCAAATATCGGACTTCGCGCGGAATGAGCGTGATCTAATGAGATCTTTCTATTTCTCCTGATTTGTGTTGTCAGGAGAGTTTTGTTACAATTTATAAAATTGTATGTATTTGGAGTGCATCTTCTCAAATCCGTTCATCTTTCCGTGGAAATGAATTCGATATATCGATGATATAAGTTCGCAACCGCACTTATCTCTGTTTGCGACGTGGCGAATTTCCTGTCATACCTCAGTTTTCAAATGGAAAACTACTCGCTGACAATTCCTGAAAATGGCCGTGATTTTTATCCTCTAAAAGAAAAATTTTCTGCAAAAAATTCAGGGAATAATGTCGCTTTGTTCTCCTTTAAAAAATTGAAATAAGAACGGAGATTTTCAAACACCGCAAACTAGTTACGTGGTTGCGGATTTACACCGTCGCTATACGATATTGTGTTGAGCCTATCTCGAACTTTACGATCTATTTCAACATTAAAGACAGGTCATCGAGACCTACATAAAGTAAATATACCATTAATATTATAGAAAGAAGAAGAGACAAATGTTTTCTCCAATAGCTATGCATACTTCCAGCCCTGATCCGAAGTATTGTCAAATCAACAGTTTAAGTTTATACAGTTCTATACCCGCATAAAAAATGAACTTTCAGGAATTAAGTTACCAAGCAAAAATAAAGTCAAGCGGGCGAATAAAAGTATCGATTTTTTCATACCACGTAGTTTCTGAAAATTTAAAAATCGAATTGAGATCCATTCGTAAAATATTTTTGAAGGAAATCGTTTTGAAATCTAAACGCTTACATTTTCATAAGCCGAAGTCTTCTGCGTTCTTTTGACCATACATTTGTCCGAAAGCGAAGATAGAATTGCATAACTCTACTTTTCTTTCTTTTTCTTTTTTTCCTCTTAATTTGAAATTTTACATGCCTGCGCGGATTGGGGAAGAATCGGTTCATTTCGAATTGTTTTGTTACTGTTCCTACGATACTTCTTTTAATTTATGTATACGAATTTTATGTTGAAATGCATTAATTTTGTTATTTTTTCAGTTCTTATAATGTAATTTTCGTGCTTTATGTGCAATAACTTACGTCTAGTGTCAACCCCACCTACTAATAATACAAAGACTTGGATTTTGTGACTGAAAGGTATGAGATCTAATTTTAAATTTTGACCATCTAGTCACTCCATGTTACAGCTCGAAAGTTTGAGGGAAATAATGACTATATTGGATAAAATTCACCGGATAATTCAGCAGATGAAAAGGGCAGCTTTATTTGAAAAGCCCATCAATTAAAAAGATGTATTTCCATTTTACAGCTCATATATCCAGACAGAATCAATGTAGCATCATTTTGTTTGATATTGTTTGATAGTTTGGCAACGGACGTATAAACTTAAAATACATCGCCAATGTACTTCGTAAAGTTACGTGGTAAGTATTGTTTTGCAGAATTCTACCACAGGAGTCTCTTGGAAACATATTTTATCTCTATTAAGCTTCAATAATTTTCTTGTGACGATTTAATGATAAATATACGGAACGAGTGAAACCTGGACCTACATTTGAAATTGATTTACCAGCTTTTCTTGTATCCCATTGCAAATGTTAAGGTATACCTCAGTTTTAAAACTACCTTGCCATGATGTTTTATTGTAAATTGGTCTGCTGGATTCCTAGACGAAGCTATCTATCAGTGACAAGTTTTTACTTTTTGTGCAATAAATGGAAAAATTATGATACATTTTTAGTTTATTTGTTTTCTTTCGTTAAGGAGACCATGGCATTTGGGCCGTGTCTTAGTTCCTCAGCGATTTTCGTCTCAATAATTGAACAATAGCTAATATTTGTTGCAATATTCCTCAGTCGGGTCATTCAACGACCAACATGTATGTTTAAATTTTGAGCGGCAGTTCAACAATATGTAAACGGATCATGGCGTTCAAACGCTGCTTTTTTTTGACAGTGAGTGAGATATGCATACTTAGGATTGAGTATGAGGGCTGAGAACAGCTTAAGATTCCTCTTTAGCTAACTCGTTTTTACATACAATTTCAGAACTAAAACTACTACGCAAACGATGAAAATATTTCATTATTATTCAAGCCGTAGAAGAGTGACAGCTATTAATGTAAAAGAATTCCTATGTCAACATTCGAAACTCCCGATTGTTTTACTGAATATGTCACCCAAAAATACAAACAAAACGATTATTAATTTTGGTCATGCTCTTCGCAAATCTTCTTTTCCATTGTGATAGGCACAGACACAACGTATGCATTTATGAAATGCACCTGCTGATTGTTTAAAAGGCGAAAATAAGAAAGAAGAGGATTCACAGAGAACTTATCTTGCATAGAGAGGCAGAGAAATGTCGAAAAAGCTGTATCCAAGAACATTAGGTTTGAGACATTATATGTATCACAAGTTCGCAGTAAGTTCCTTCAATAATTTTATTCCACGTCTATTCAGGCAGATGCCAAGAAATATTTCAAAAGGATATCATGGTGATATATATTTAAAATGAAAACCTTCGAAATAGGTCAGTGCGTGATTCGTTTCACCAAAATAAACTGAGTTCATGGTATTGTGAAGAATAGAGAGACTGCGAAGTTTTTATAGTTGTAACATAGTTTTTACCTCTTGGATTACTTTTCTTGGCTCAATCAAACATACCCAGTCAGCTCTGACAGTAAATATAAATCGTCGTAAAAGGCTAATTTCAAGAAAAGGCACGTCAGTTGGCATTTATATTTTCATTAGCTATGATATTTCTGATGATAGAAAATTCCGTTTGCTACTGCGGTTACTCTTCTCGATTGTATACAAATCCAGAAGAAAATCATTCAGAAAAGCAAATTTTTCTTCATCAGTTCAACAAGTGATTTTTCATGGAAAAATACACAAACGCACTGACTTCAAGTACCTCCTTTTTCCGTCCACCTGTCATTCTAACGTAAATTTTTCGGAACTCTCGCAACATTGGTGGCAAAAACAAGAGGGCATTGTGACCAGTATCATAGCACGGGTTCTTGAAATCGAAAGTGATCGAAAAAACGGAGTACAAACAAACGCACGCGCCCGCACATACGCAACGGTCTAATTCAACGAACTAACGGCGCCCACGTTGTCCAATCTCAATTAAATACCTAATTCTTCCGTCAAATTCCCGCGAAAAATATAGTTTTTCAGCACAATCCGACAATCAGTCGCGACTCGCGAGAGGGGCCAACCGGGAAGAATACCTGTTCCTTGAACGGACAGCGGGATAAAGGCATTCCTGGCTCTCTTGTGCTCGGCAGAGACAAAAAATCCACGTTGAAGTTCTGCGGTCAACCGGTGACCCTTTTGATGGGCTCCGGCGGCGTACCGTGCATTCTCCCGTTGTCTCTTTTTCACGAAGAAAGGTGGAAAAAAATCAAAACAAAACACTCCGGCAAAAGATAAATGGTAATCAGTTAGAGGCAGCCGACGCACCTGCTGAGTGTTTTTCCAAACGCACTTTTCGACGAGGGAAAAAGAATTTTAGAGAACGGGAATTTTTCACTGGAAGCTGAAGCATTTGAAGCTCTGAGGCAGAAAAGCATTCTTCGTAGCATGCGTGTAAGTGAGATCTTGCCTTTTGTCGCGTGGAATTACAATTATGACGGGCGTACAATGTTCGGCTCCTCTTTATTGTCCGCTGGTATGAATGAATTGGCTATTTTTGTCTCTTTGGTTTGACCTGCGAAAAAGTTCTGTGTTTTAAATAAACGCACACAAATTTTATCTGAAAACATTTGACACAGGTTTAACCAATGTATTGTGACATAAATCGAGCGCAGGGCACAAAGTTTTTCTTCTATTTTATTCTATGATTGATCTCTTTAAACTGAATTTATTTACTACTCACAGATTTTACTTTAAACCGAAAATGTTAAAAATATGGGTTGCATCAAATATTTACGCTATTCCGGATCTTCCAAGATGTTCGATAGGACGAGGACGAATATATTTGCCGAAGACGAGAGAAGACGTTTTTGCTGCCAAGAGCAGATTTTTTTAGGTTGCAAAAATGAGATTGAAATTTTGGTTTCTCTAATATCCC